AGCGAGGCTGATACAACATGAACACAAGGCTGTTTCCTTACCTCCTCTGGAGCGGCGAAGGATCCTCTTCTTTCTTTCTCATCATCTGTGGAAGACCAAGCCTGTGTGAGTGTGTGTTAGCGGCACTTACAGCAAGTGACCTGCTCAATAATCCTCTGCACTGGGATGTGTTTGGGTGTTAACAAAGCAACCAGTCAGCAGTAAGAGCTGCTCAATATTCATGTTAACATGAGCTGGACGCTTGACTGGCACAAGCAAATTATCCTGAACTGATATTCTGAAAGCTGATGGCAGATAAAATCGTGTTTTAACAGTCAAATTGGCAAAAGTTCATGCTGACGTTTGCCAGGAAGAATGCCTGAATGGTTTTGTGTCCTCGTGCATGTATTTGTGTGTGCGTGTGTGTCAGTGTTTACCCTGAAAGATACAGTCCTGGAGCTCTGTCTGATGAAGGCAGGTTTGTTTGCCTGTTCAAAGTTTCCACTGGTGGAGCGATTCACGCCGGTCTGAGAGACATTAAAACAACTTAGGTTTGCTGTTCAGCTGCAGGAACCTCTCTGGAGCCAAGACTGTTTTTACCGCCTTAAAGAACCTTTACTCTTTATTTGTTTTTAACATTTAACCACATGAAAACATGAAAACAACAAACAAAACAACAGAAAAAAAAAGAAAAGACAGCTTCCTCCCATGGTTAATCCACCTTTGTATTTTGAGTCTATTTTCAATACTTACTATCGGTACACCCGCAAAAAAAGGACAATAAAATCAAATTCTTAAGTTATTCCCTTAGTGCCTACACAAACCTACGACGCAGCAAGCATAAAGTTTAGCTAAAGATAGTTGCCCAAATAAATTCCAAGCATCTCAGCCAAAAACACGCCCCATGATTTGTCAAAACCCTCCCTATCATCATTAATCCTCGCCAAGAATTTTTCATACGACACCATTTTCAGCATATTTTTTCCACCTATTATATTCTGGAGATGGTTCCTTCCACACACTGAGAATAACTCGAGCCGCTGCGATCACCCCCACCTTTATAACCACAAAGTCATATTTTGAAACCCCAGGTAACACCGGCCGATCCCCTAATAAGCACAGTCTTGGTGACAAAGGTATCATCAAACCGATCCACCTTCTTATTTTGTCCAATACTTTTTGCCAAATGGGAGAAACTTTCCCACATTCCCAAATAGCATGCATGAATGTCCCTGGATCTGAGCTACATTTCCAGCATATATTACTGGGACTGATTCCCGTTCTATAAAGTGTGGATGGAGTGAAATACCTACTTCACCATCTGTGTATTAATTTGTACTGAGTAAATTCACCCCTGGCCTCTCTTATATTTTTATCAGAGAATGACAGAATTCTGCACCAGTCTTCTTTAGAAATTGCACAACTCAAATCTCTCTGCCATATAATCCTCAAGTTTTCACATATCTCTTTATAACACCAGAGGGCGCTGGTGCCCACACTGGACTGATAAGACGCAGCGTCAGTGCTTAGTGGGCCTTATACAGCATTTGACAAGCAAAACTTGAAGCTGAGACGAATATGTCAGTTTATTTGTGTTTGTGTTTATTTGTGCGTGTGTGTGTGGTGAACTACCTCCTCCGTGTGCCCATTGTGAACAGGGCTTTGAGCTCCCCGAGGAGAGGGACTCTGGCAGGGGGAAGTCCAGTGTTCGCGAGGTGACCAGGGGGCTGACGGAGAACCGGGGCTCATGGGAGTTGTGCGCCCGCTGACAGATGGACTCTTGTCAAGTGAGATGGAGACAGAACTGAAAGGCAAGAAAGAGAAGTGAGGAACTAGTGACCACTGAAAGTATAGTTTTCTCTGATCTGTTGCTTAAATTAACTCTTAAAGTACGTCTAACGTGAAAACTGAAGGCAGATTTTTTTACTCTTCCATCCAACACATATCTTATTCTCTGGATATCTTTACGTGGTTCACGATTTATACAAAACAATTTTATACGTCCTGTTTTCTCTTTTATATTTCTGGTGCTTTCATTTCCATTTGTGGAATCAGTAACTTTTATCTTATCTAAATAAAATGCATTTGATCCTTTTAGCTGATCAGCCAACAAAGAACAAAAGAGCAACAAAAAAGAAACGTCACTGTTAACCTGACAAACTTGCGAGCTGGGCCGGAGGAGGGTTTTGGATCAGGGTCTTTGCCTGATGACTCTTCATTCTCATGCTGACAAAGGAAGAAACAGGCAGACAATCAGCATGAGCACATAGCACACAAGCTTTTGTACAGACGACACACCTTGCATTACATAACACGGCGCGGTTATGGCCTCATTTGCAGATACACAGAGCTGAAGCAGCCTGCGAAGGTAATAAAAGATAACGTTCAAATTATGGCCTTAAGCACGTCTTATCAAAGCTTTAGAGATGATTTGCATGGTCACTTGACTCGCGGGGAGAGTTCAAGTCTGGAAACAAGACGGGGAGTAAAGGCTTGTCTTCTTTTCCTAAAACTAAGTTAAAAGTAGATTCTAACTTCTTCTTGTGACCACAGGAGGAACATGCCAACACCAGCGTTGGTCTTTAATAGCAAAAATGACATCATATGCTGCACTACAAAGTTTGTTGTTGTAAACTCTAGAGAATAATTAACTCCCCCTCTGTGTGGGACAACAGTTAACTGTACAGGTGCTGCTACTGGTTTGATGACTTAGTTGTGTGAGGGAAGATTGGTGCTTTCTGTGTCAGTTCATGTTTGATCATTTGTAACGTTTCTCAGAGAATCAACAAAATCTCTCTGTTGGTCATTTAATCAAAACTTTAATGACCTTGTTTCTTCCAGGTGGACAAAAGTTCTAAATAATCATGTGAAAAATCTCGATTTACATCATTATTTGGCAGCTGAGTTACAGACTTTCACTGTCGCTGTCCTGTGATAACTCAATCAAAAGATCTGTGAGATGGTTTTTCTTTAGATTTTCCTTCTTACTTTGTTGCTTGAGATGCTGGTTCTACTTTTGCTGCTGCTGGTGTGAGAAGATGTTTTTACTGGTGGCTGTGGTTTGACAACACTCTCCTTCTCTGCATCCATGTCTCCCAGCAGCTCTACCCTGGCACCTCCTTCTTTGCTGACCTCAGCTTCATCCTCCCCTCCATCCTTCTGTTGTCTCAACGTTTCCACGTGCCGCATCCTTCGCCTCTCGTCACGCACTCGCAGCATCTCCACAAAGTCAAGCTGTACCTGCTCCATGCTGGCAATAAACAGCACATATGTGCACATTAATGACCAACACATGTGATGAATGGTCTCTAGAGAGACCTAAAAAGATTCGCCGGTCCTGCGTCTGATCAGGTTTCTATTATAAAAGGCTCTTTGAAGACAGGCTGTCGGGGTTTCTGACAGCATTTCATACTTTCCCTGCGTGAGTATCAGGTGTTTTCATGGGTTTGAAATGTATACAGAAACACTCCCATGGGGCAAAGCTGTGAGAATCATCCTTTGAAACCACTAAAAAGGCCAAAAGAACAAAACAGGCACACAGACAAAGTCCACAGTAGTAAAAAGAGGATTGTGTTTAGACAGCGTTTGAGTCCAACGTGACTTATTTGTTTTACTAAACTATGAGAACAACCTGTTGGAGCTTTGGGACATTTCACTTGAGGAGTCTGTCCCAAAGGCGCTCTCGCTGGCAGATGTGTTTTCAGGAGTGGGAGTGGGGCTGGAGTCATCATCTTGGTCAGCACTGGTGCTTGAGCTCTTCACCCTCCTCCTCTTCTCCCGCTCCACCTCTTCCTCGTCCTCCATTGTCCACTGTCGTGCAAGGCTGCATCAAAACAACCAGCGAATATGGAAAAACAAACAAAGAAAAACAACAGAGGAGGCTGAGGCTCAGCGAGGATACAGGAGGTGGACATATGTAAAACAGGGTAAAACATGAGAACTTCATGAGTGGATCCTTCACAATATTTGTTTTTGGTTTGTACTTTAAAAGAAAAGATTAATAACGTTACAGGGAACCTGCTTTACTTGTTCATCAACCGCTTTTTGCATCCTGTTTAAAACAAATATCAGTGGATTCAATCAGCAGCTGCAGAGCGACAGGCTGGTGTTTCCTTTTTCACTGAGATAATTAATTCAAGGGCCAAACAGAACAAAACTCTCCGTTATCTCTTGACTGTAACGGGCAAAAAAAGACAGAAGTGACTGTAGTAATAACAGTGACACCAACCGACACAGTTTGACTGCATGTTACACAGTTACTATAATAAATCATTTCTTCCAAATTAGGATGCTTTGTTGCCAGAGTGAAAACCCTGCAATATGTTCATTATGCGCGTTCCTAAACATCAGCATCTATTAAAAAGCAGTAGGCGCGGGCGCTGCTCTAACGCAGGTAATTAGTCGCTTTAGAAACCCAGACGTCCTTGAATCTTACCTGGACAAAGCCGACCAGTTTCTCCGACTCACAGACATATTGAAGAAATAAAATAGTTTCCAGCTACGATCACAGACAAAGTCGACGGGCACAGACGACGGCAGTCGAATTACAGTCACCGCGGCACACAGCAGTCCACCTTTACCCCGGTGCAGCGCACAGACGCGTCACGTGACCACAAAGGTAAGCTCCCCACCTGACAGACTGAGTGAGGGGTGGGGAGAGCGCGCGCCACAGAGCACCTTGTATGGTGGAAGTGTGGAAGACGTAATACCTGTACCTGGCACTCCTTTCCCGCCCCTGGACACTTGGCTTATTCGGGCAATGGCAATAAAATATCCCAGAATAATTAATCTTACACTTATATTCATTTTGTTTGTGTGGATCTTACAGGCTGCAGCTAAAAGGCAAACCTGTACAAGTACAACAAGTATAGCAATTAAACTCTTATTAAATGATAATAATGAAGCATACAAATATATGTTATCCTTTCTTGTACTGAACTCTCACTACAGTCTGAGTCAGTGTTTGCTGTGTGAGTCCACACCTTTCTCTGGAGCCCATGTGTGTTGGACTCTGACCTACACTTTATACCACATCTGTGTCTGTTATACTCTGTGCCGTTCCTCAGTAAACAAAGTTAGATATTATCGTAACTGATAACTGAGGCATAGTATAAGATGCATATCAAGACTCTTTCAAGTTTCACCTGTGAAAACCAGAGTCTGCTTCGCCTTTATTTAAAGAAGAGGCTGTCTTATAGCGTTGTTGGTCTATCATGCATCTGCTATCTTATGGAAATAGTTTGCATGCCCCTGCCTGCACCGGTGCTGTGTCATTTTAGGTCCTTCAATGAACTCTTTATGCATCAGTGTCCATTCAGTCTGTTATAATGTTCCTGTGTCTAAAGTTAGTCTTACATTTCAGGAAAGACCTGATCAAACAAACGGAAATAAAACAGAAAGACATTCCCAACAAAAGTTATATTTACAGACACAAGACGATTGCGGCTGCTTTGCATCCATTTGGATAAGGCGATTTTTAAAAGTACTGAAGCAGAGTGTGCTTTATGGACATGCAAAACACACAGAAGTGCTTTACATCTGGACAGCATGCACACAAAGCATATCAGTTAAAATGTACAAGTTGCTGCTTTGTTGCAGCAAACACTGTAACCGATATTGAAAAGCTATTAGCAGCAGTGATGCTTGCTGTTTTTAAGTATATATTCGGTTGCAGAGCGGATTCATCGGATCAAAGTATGAACTTTCTTTTAGTGAGGTTGAGCACAGCAAGGTATTGTTCCCATTAATCCCAGCTGTCCTGGGAGTCAATCCCAGTCCCGTATGATCTAGCAGTTAAATGTCTTAACCATATGGGAGTTGTTGGCAAGGTTGGCATCACAGACTGAACAAATTGTGTTCAGACTGGAGTAGAAATAAGCATTTTTTAGTAGTGGATAATATTTTAGCCATAAGAACACACAAACCATTTAAACTGCACGTGTTCATCTGTGCATTTGCTCTATCTGCTGTCTGCAACCTGCAATAAAAAGCTAGAGTTTATAAAAGCATTTTATATTTCTGAATACAGCCGTTGATCAAAGAACACACATGAAGGAGACAGAAAAATGTTTCATGTAAAGTATACTTTTAATATTTTATTCGTTCTTTTTTCCTTTCAGTCCAGCCAATGAAATGCACCTTTTTTTTTTACCACTATTATTTGATAAACTACATTACAAGGTTAAAGTTCATCCCCAAGCCAAACAATCACATGTACAGTTTAATTTGTCCGCCATACAAATATCAGGCCGATTGTCTGTTTGCTGCAACATGGTGTGAAAAGTACAAATAATCTTACATAACAATCATTTTAACACCTTATCAAAAACAAGCTGACAGAGTAGTTGAAAGCCTTTCAGGGGTGTGGGGGCATACTGTCACCTCCATGGCAGGAGCATACGCAGGGACATCAGCGTGCAACAACAACACGATAGACCCAGGAAGACCAGGACAGATTCAGATGTAGGGGAGTGATGTCACTGATGTGACCCCAGCCCGCCTCCTGGCTTCACTGCGCAGAACCTTTAGCAGCATCAAACATCTTCTTCCTTCCCTCCATCCCTGACATGGCTTCCACATTCTTCCTCCAGTCACTGTCCTCCACTGGCCTCTTCTGCAGATAAGGGAGACAGTTGGATTGTGCAACAGAGAGTATAAACGACTAAAAACAGAGGCTGCAAAGTAGAGCAGGTTCAGAAAAAGTTATTGTTGAATCTAAGCCTTTGAGACCTGTTCGTTTCAATGGGAAGCCCTTTGGAGAATTGTTTATTACCATACTGGTATAACTGGTTTACCTCACACTTGGAGAGACACACATTCATTCACAAGTATACACACACCGGAACAAGCTAATCTGCACATGTGCATGCACTCAGGAGTTGGGAGACGTGGCCACAAAGGCTAATGTTCTGTGTACAATGGGATCATTGTCTTGTGTTCGGTCCTTCTCTCACACAAGGTCCCCGCCCTGCAGAGGCTTCCTACTCGGTATCTTAAACACACCTTTCACACACTGAAAACAGCGTTTTCAGGTGTTTCATGACATCTCAAGCGCTGACGTCATGTCTGTATCTTACAGTACCTGAATGCATATCTGTGCTGTAATGATGGCACAGACATCGCTCAGGCTGGTTTCACTGTATTCTGTGTGCATATGCATGATTGTATCTTCTCTTTTTTCCATTTTTCATGCACCTTTTCAGTGTCCTCTTTCTTGACAGACTTGAGATTGGCTCGCAGGTCCATGGAGACTTTGTGCTTGGATCCCAGCAGCGAGCGAAGGATGGCGTCAGCTGACACGCGGACACGTCGAAGATTAGGCCTCTTGAATTTCCCCCTGAGGTCCAGCACCTTGATATTCAGGTCTTTAATCTGGTGGAGTGACACAGAGTGGAGGGAGCAGGATGTAGGAGTTTCTCATGGTGCTCATAGTGTTGCATAATATACGTAAAGTATCACTGATATGAAACATTTCAAATTAATAACGGATAATAACGTGTACCAACCTCGCGTGTGTTGAGCATGACCTTAGCTTCAATGTCATATCGCTCCTCGTCAACTACATCTATCTTAGCATGTAGCTCCCTGCAGAGATCCTACACATGCACAAAGGAAAACTTAGTATGAAATCATGTGCAGTCCTTTCTTTACTTGCTTTCTTGTCCTGATTTGCTTTTTAGAATACAATGCTTTATTGACATAATTTGGGAATGATCTAAGTTGTTGCTGCAAAGGATGGAAAGAGAAATGAGAGATTTGGGGGAATCTGTAGGGAACATACCTGAAGCTGGCCAAGGCTCAGGCCACTCATGTTTAAAGGAGGAGCTCTCTCAGCCAGGTACCGATGTTTCTCCTCCTCTTTGTCTAAAATCTCCTGCTCCAATTCCTCCTTGGCCTTTGCCACCATCAGACTCTGTCAAACCAACATAAAATAATGTTTTCCATATGCGTTC